TTTAACATGCACTTTCCAGAATTGTGTGTATTACCTTTACTGCAATATTGTTAACGCGCAGATAATTCTCCTTTTTAATAAACATAAATTTATCAATTATGAAATTATAAAAACGGAATTGAACCTGGACTTGAAGACGTTTACAGATAATATGTACTCGTGTTTACACTATTTTAAAATAATATCTTCCAATGATCAACCCGTTGATTGGAAGTCTTCCACTTTTTTTATCAACCGGAATTTTTCCTATCCACATAATAAGGTGTACATCAAGAAGGCAACTACTTTGCTTTCCAAGGAGCATGAAAAGATTAAGGAAGATCGAACCATGGCAATTGAAGCTGCCATTGTCCGTGTTATGAAAGCGCACAAGAAATTATTCTACGATCAAATATTTGACTATGTCAAGAAATCGCTCTCCTGTTTTGCTCCCACCAACCAGGTAATTAATCCGAGCCTTCTCTTTTTTTTTTCTCTCTCTCTACACTCCGTGGGGAAATTCACCGCAAATAGTCCTCCCAAATGTGTGTCTTTATACGTAATCCAAGTGACAAAAAACGTGTTCCTTTAAGAAATCGGGTGGGACCCCTTCTTACGTCTGTTCGTATGCACCTTCATCCACGGGCTCGTCTTTTTCCCCCCTCTGTAGATAATCGAGAAAAAAATAGATTTGCTAGTCGAGAGGGAATACCTCCAGAAGGAAGAAAACAGCCAAGTGTACGTATACATACCGTAGAGAATCGTACGCGCAAATGGCGTCGCGGTAATGAAGTGCAGGAGCGTATTTGAGCCGCCCCAAGCGACGAAGCAGCAAGGATGAAAAATGCACAAAATGGGGGCAAGTGGGTTGATGCGTGTATTCAAAAAACGGAGCTCGTCCTGTCCTGCTTTCCGTCCCGACCCCATCGTGCTTCTTTTTTTCTGTTGCGCCTTTTTGTTTTTCGTCGCCACTGCGCAGAGGCCAATGTCTCCGCTGAAGTGCACCCATCGGCTGCTTTCACATTTTTGTTTAATATGCTCAGTGTGTTTGTGTTTCCGCAGAGCGTTGCATATATATACATATGTGTGTGCACTTACGCACATACAGCCATGTTTAGTTATTTTTTTCCCCGGCGCGCACGTGCCATGTGATTACCCAAAACACTGTGTTGCTAATTATTTGCCTTTGCATTGATGAGACAGATCGTTGCTTCCTTTTTACCTCCAGAATTTATTGCCTTCCCCTTCTTTTTTTTTGGTGCATAAATTTTGGGAAATTTTTTGTAAATTTTTTATTATCAAATGGGGTTAATGAAAATATGAAGGTTATCCGACTGCATAGGGGGGGAAAGGGACATGACAAGGCGGGCTGACCTCTTTTCCCATGTGGTGTGCAAAAATGGGAGAGCGCCGTTGTTATTTTGTAAATACACAAAGATTCCAGCATTTAGGTACGAACATCGAGAGTGGGATGCCGAGGGGGAATGGATACAAGGTCACTCCATTTTGTGAGTTTGCTCGGGGTTCGGATATGTCATGTGTAAAGGGGGATAAGCCATCTGACACACACAGGCGTATATTCATGTACGTGTGTACATATGCACGCTTGTGCGGAGGCGTGATCCCTTCTCTTCGTAGGACAAAAAAAGAAAGAAAACCGTGGGGCGAATTGCAACAGGCGCAGCAAAAATGTTCGCATAAAAGACACAAAAAAAGATGAGAGAGAAAAAAAAAAGAAGCTTCTCCAAATGGTACATAAAAAAAAGAAGAGAAAAATGCAACTCTTGAGAGGTTATTCCAAAGAAGTGTCCGATGGGACTGACTTCACCCTCGCTGAGTCATCATTCAAATATTCAAATATAAAAAAGAGCATTCCATTTTGCAAACAGTTCCTTAGTAAATGCATGTTAAGGCCAGTATAGAAAGATCTGATTCCCTCTAGCCTGAAAATATTAACTACTACATCTAGGAAGCCATAATTCTTCATCTGTACTTGTTGTCTCATTTTTATAGTATATAACGGATAGGTAAACATCACAGCAATGAATTTTGATAAAACGCCATACAAAAATGGTAACGTTTTGGCTAGCGTGTTTGAAGAAATTTGGGCGTCTTCTCCGATAAACTCATTTCTGAAATATTCACTGCTAAAATGATACGTTAAATATTCATATATATAAAACTGAATAGCTACATGGGGGGTCAGTAATATAGATGTTAAAAAGCCTTTATAAAATGAAAATAATTTTTCTCTCTTATATATATTATACACAAATTGGAAGTAGTTCTTGTAATTATAAATTGTACTTATGGCATTTTTACTTTCTTCCCTTTTGAAAATTCGCAGTATTTGATTACCACTGAATAGGGTTTTCAAATATGTCAAATATCTGCGCGAAAATTTTTTGCGATGATTTGAAATTAAGATTTTCGTCAATTGTTTTCTCTCCAAAATTGACAAGGTGTAATATTTGTACAACAAATAGTTGTGTGCAATTTTTCTTTTTACACTTTTCTGTAAAAATGCTTTCTTATCATTTGCATATGTGAGATGATTGAATTTTTTTCTTGTCTTCACATTTTTATTGCACAAAAATTTTTTCCTATAAAGCTTGAGCATATCTTCATTCAGCAGGGATTTGATTTTTTTCCCTGTCCCATTTTTCTTTCCCAAATGATAACCAAAAAAAAGGAACACCTTGGCTACTTTGGGGACAATCTTACTTGTACACATTTTATTCCTTGTCACAAAGATGTTGTAATGTTTGCTCGTTATTCTGCTTTTGTAGTTTAAAAATTTATAGTTTAAATTTATGGTGCACTCTATTTTCGTTTTAATCAGCCATATTGGGTGTTGAATAAAAAGACTAAGGATGGAGCTCAGGCTGCTTGTGATGATGTAATACTTGATATTTTTGTGACCGCTAATTGGCGCATCTTTGTTGGCACTACCTGCAGCGTTGTCTTCCTCGTTGATTTGTTTTTTATAAGACAGATTGGCGATCATGAAGTTTTCCTGTCTTCTTTCGGTAGGACTTCTTACAAAATTGGGGCTCTCCGATGGTATTTCTCTACCTCCCCCTGAACTTTCTTTTACATTTCCTCCTTCGAGGGAATCTCCCGACTCGGAGTTGCACACCTGGTTTCCCTCTCCCCCTCGGTACTCATCCTTACTTCTACCTATCGCTGTATCATTTTTTCCATTTTTCATTCCATTAACACCGTTGTATTGCCGAAATACGTAATAATTTAGAGTGTCATATATGAAGCGGAATATGCCATGGGAGACCCCCGTGGTCAGCAACGTAGCCAGTAAGCCACGATAAATGCTTTCTACTTTTTCTTTTTTCAGAATATAGAACAGATTGTATTTGTTATTATAGTAATAGGGGTAGGAGTTCTTGTACACTTTGTATATCTGCTTCCTCGTTCTTATGATGTCCAAGGGGTGCAGCACACACAAGACTAGGGCGGAAGAGGCCATAAAGTTTAGCGTCCTTGTCTTCACCTTTTTATTTTCGTCATTACTATTGCGCGTGTCGCCATTTATGAGTGTGCCTGTTTTATCATCGTTTTGGTAACCCTTGCCGAAATAATTTATGACGCGTTTCCAGAGATTATTGCCCTCATATCTGACGTCCATAGTAGTCTACATTAGCATTTTTTTTCCTCGGGATGTTCTTAGCTGCTGGTGCGTCACGCGCAAGTGGGGGTCGCTGCGTCAGTTCGGCTCCTTTACCCGTCTGTGCGTTTCTGCGTTCTCTTTGGGTTTTTTTTGCCCTTTTCCTACGCCTTTTTTGACCTTTTTTGCGCTGTGTGTGCTTCCTTTTTGCGTTGCCTTTTTCCGCGGCAAGAAGACCTCTACTTGTCCTCTTCAAACCATGCGGCTCGAAAAAGGCTCGCTACTGAACGTTAAATTTATTGCGAGTCCCTGTTCCATCATAAATCCACTTTAAGGATTTAAGCGAAACTGACAAGTAGGGAAATGCGGAAAGACGGCATGTCGTTTCGCTAGCGCGATGTGGCAGGTATTTGTTTGCTTGGTGAAAAGTCCGGTGAGGATCCTCGTGCGACGCGGGAAAAATCGCCTTTCCTTAAGGGAATAAAGACCTGGTGTGCACAGGAAGGTGAAGGGCGTCCTTGAAAAGCAAGGGAGAAAAAGTGAACGCGGTGAAAGAGAAAAAAATGGCAAGGGAGTTTTTATATCCCTTTTAGGACTTAACATGGGCCCGCTCGTGTTGAGAAGGACCTTTTCGCCGCTTTGCACTGCCCCCACGATTTGCCGTATCTGAAAACGTGCAAAACGGAACAAGTTAACAAAGTAAAAGTTATAATTGGTAAATTCAGCCCCCTGGGGGTGTCCTGCAAATTGGCAAACTGCGCCAAATAAGGAGGAAAAACAATTTTGCCTTTTGTTTTTCCCGCTTCCCTGTTCCAGTCTCACTGCGAACATATCTAGCTAACACGAATGGGCGTGCCACGCATCCACGCGTACATGTTTACCCCCCCAACCTGGAAAAAGTTCCCATCTTCAGATGTTCTATTACCACGTGGTGACAATTTTATGTAGTTACAGAAATTTACAAATCACATTTCGAAATGGAAGTGAAAAATATAGGTTTTTTTTTTTTTTCTACAGTTCATATGTCCCTAGTAACATCTCCTTTACCAAACGTGTATACTTAACAGAGCTATGCGTTAAAACGTTTGCCTTTATTTATATGTAAGCCTAAAGCGTATGATCCAGTCAGTACCATTATTTGTTCACCTTTTTGTGTTTCATACTTGTGTTAGGATGAAGAACTGAGCGCTTAACGTTTTGCATTTTTTCCCCCTTTTTATTTCCCGTTTTTTTTTTCTTTTTTTTTTTGTTTCCCCTTGTTAAAGAGTCAACCTTGCTCGTTTTAAAAATATATGACATTAGAATTACATGCCCTAATTGTAAAACCAAATCCTTCATTTGTAACATGGAGATATAAAGTACAGCTCGCGATATTTAATTGAAAGATAACTGCTTCAAAATGTTGTTCCATTTTTTGCTTTGCTTTGTAACACTCTTAACGAAATTAACATTTCAAAAGCATATACCTTATTCTAACATTGCATCGCTAATTGGCCACATCAATTTTATCGTGCCGACATCGAATTTGTTAAACAGCTTTGTTCTCCTTTCAAGTGTCAACGGAAATGTGGGGTTTCTAAATTACAGAACAGGTTAGAGCTTCGCCAAGGGGGCGAAAAATCCCTGTGGGATGTACATGCCATGCTGACATTACACCGCCCAGCTGCCGTGGGGTAGCCGCTCGTTGGGTGCACGGCGTGTCCACACAATGTGTGTAGGGTGACTCCTTACGCTCATCTCGCTCCAACGCGAATGTTCCACGTGTATTTGCCCTTGCTGTGTAAGCAAGAAAAGAATCACTGGAACCATGCGTCCATTCCCTTTTTCCTGTGCCTCCCCCCATGTAGGCACCCTGGATTATGTGCAAAACCATCGAGAAAATGAGAAAATAAGAAAACTGCACGGAGATGACAAGCACGCAGCTGTGTTGATCTATAGAGATGATTTTGAAGAAAATGACGTTGAAGCTAATTACACAAATGATGGAGACCCTTACTCGTACATTGACGTGTACAGCACGATGGGCGGCTATCTCCTCAGCTCCTTTGAGTATAGAAACGAAATGATTGAAGACTTTTTAATTAATGAGGAGAACATATTTATCCTCCTGCAGAACAGAATAGATGTAGGCAATATAAGCAACAACAAAATAAACTCGTTAACTTTTCAGCAGCTAAAATTAAATTTCATTTATGCCAAAATGATCGGAGTTCAAAACATGAAGGTATCTTTATTCTATGTGGATTCAGAATTTTGGGGGCATGTAGTAAGCGTCAATGTTGTAAATAAGAGTGTAGAAAATGACAGCAAAATTAGCCAACTTAAGCTCAACGACAAAATGGTTAATTACGTGAATGTATTGAACAGCGTAAATGTTATTGTGGTGTATAATAAGGAGCTCCTCCACTGGGTAGAATTAGTAGAGGGGGGAGGAAATAAATACCACTATGGGTCTGTGTCAATAGGGTGGCACGATGACAAGGTGGAGAAGGAAGAGACAAATGAACGTGCAAATTACGCAGATAGAGACGAACCCACTGGAAAGCATAGACCCTTTAGGGATGACTTTATGGCTCAATGGAACAGAGAAAATTGCTTCGTCGTACAACTGGGGGAGAAACAATCTGTGTACACCTACAACGATAAGAAGATGCATTTGGTTAAGGAGAAGGACAAAAATGAAGTCATAGGATACTACATAAATAAGTATAAAGAAAAGGACATTATATTTGCACAAGATAAGGGAAGGAAAATTATTATTAAAAAAGCAGGGAAAGAAGCAATTGTTCCTCTGAATGTTCTGAACAAAAGTAGTAACGTATATTACAATGCAGAAATGATAATCGGATTACATAATACGGAAGAAAATGCCAACTACTTCTTTAGTGTATACAGTGATTCATCATTCACTGTGTATAAAAATGACCACGTGCATTATTCAAGAGAAGAATCGCTAGCTTACGTAGAGCAACTATATTTTTACAATTTCCAACATTTGAAAAAAAAAAGTGCAAAGCATTCCTATGACACGACACAATTTCATTTAATGAAAGAGTTGGAAAGCTACCTAAAAGATAAAATAAATTCTTTTAACAGACCTTTCCTAGAAGATGTTATGAAAAAAAAAGCGGAAAAGTCATTGCTGCCATTTAACTTCTTTTACCTATCTCATGAGCATAAAATGAACCTACTGAATATTTGCATGGAGAAAAAGAAGAAGTCTTATTCGTTATCTGACTACGAGAGGGAAAGAAAGCCATCCTACGCCAAGGATACCGGGGGTGACACATATAGCATGCCCAGCGGGGATGATACGTACAACCTAATGAATGACATGATTGAAGATTCGTTTAAAAAGTACGAACAAAATCAGAGCGGCAAATACGCAGGAAGTTCGGTAATCCTCGTCGTCACACGCAACAATTTCATCTTCGCCATACATTTATACACGGGCCTTATATTATACAAAATTGATGGCAATAAATTTAAAGGCGCAAAGGAAATATTTTCTCCAAAATGGAATTGTGAAAGGGTCTTCAGTTTGAATAAGGAGAACTGGTCCGAATTAGACAACGGGAAGAAAATAAGCTTTCCAAATAATCAAAAGGGGTGTGCCACATTGGGGGGTAACCCAACTAGCAAAAAGAAACCTAGCAAAGACCAGCCCAGCAGAAAGGACGTCCTAAATGATAGCAGCCGAGTGCACTTGTTTAGAAGCTTCACTAAAGACACGGTAATTACGATATTTAAAGGGGACAATTTTGCCAAT